AGATTAAATAGTATTTTAAGTTTTACATTTCCGTCTTTTAAAATTTAAAAAGAAAATATAGATGGAATTAAGTGGAGACGAAAATGAGCTTACTTTCGATATCTGAATAGCTACTAAGAGTACATTGTTAGGTACATCAGACTATTTACACCTGATTTTCCTATTCAGAATTTTTAAATATCAAGAGCAGATTATACTTTTCGTCAAAGGAAACTTTCCATCTTTTAATTCTTCGTGATTAGCCCATTCAATATTCATACGCCTAATTAGGTGTAAAACTCATTTCCTATGCTATTAATCGTGGGATGTGCGATAGACTTATCTCCATGTGGTGCAACCTGGGCAATGTATACTCATACGGCAAAAACTTCCATTAACTGGCAGTTGACTTCTCACTTCAAACTACCATGACCCCACTCTATGTCATATTCGACTACTTCCACAGTACTCATTTTGCCCCTTTTCTACCCTTTCTACCTTTGTCTTTGAAACACTCTTCTGTTTTCCCCCCCCCCCCCACTCTAATTTTTTCACTTTGATGTTCCATCCACTCTGTGAAGCCTGAAGCCAACTAAAGGGCTAATGATAACCATCAAAACGCCTACCACTTGATATAAATAAACATGTTATTAATCGTCTTACTGATTACACCAGCTATTTAGTGTCAATGTTATGACATTTTCTTCACCACGAAATGATATTTTGAATTAAAAGGGCAAACAAGGTCTGAGGCATTAAATGTAAGCGTTTAGAATGAAGAACAGCACTCACATACATCTTTATTGTCACATATTTCACCAACATGCTCTGGTTTTTCTCATACTCGTAAGCATTTGAGCGTTATTAATGAGTGTGACTAAGGGTATCATCTCTTTCTTCATCCTTTCAAAGTACTTAGTAACCATGAGCTGATGTTCTGACTATCTCACATCCTAATTGAGCCATTTGTGCTCGTGTAACGGGAAATTTAACCAGATGAATTTTAATCATCTCGTAAGGGAGCAACTCCTGCTACATATTACTGAATTCCGTTCAATTATTTACTGAAAACATTTTGTCCACTCAATTGCTGCCAATAGCATTTCTATCTAAAGTGGAATCAAATATGAAATATTTTAAATATATATATAAATAAATAAATAAATAAATAAATAAATAAATATATATATATATATATATATATATTCCAAAGTCACGAACTAATTATCGATTTTCTTCAATATCGTTAAAATAACTTGCGTTGACACATTTATTAAGCAGGTGCAATGAACAATCCGGACTTTAGGCTATAGAAATAGCAGACTTATTCGGAATTATTTCATTAGACTTAGTCAACATTCAAGCAAGGGCAGCCAGTCTAGAGATGGGATGACCGCTTAGCCAATCATTGTATCGATAAGTTCCACTCTGTGTTCATACATATGCAGATGAGAGTCTTAAAATTCTACAATTTCTCAACTATGATACACACGAGAGAGAGGAAGCTTATAGGTTTTAATTTTCTATTGCTTATTAAATTCACTATTGACTCCACTCATTTGTTCCCCTTTCATTGACAAAAGATTATTTGATTCCCATAAAAAACTTGTCCATCCCAGTTCCCAGACAAACTGGACTTTGCCTCATTTAAGGCTCGTGTGATGGCTCATAAAGAAGAGCGATAGGTGGTGCTTCCACATTCCAACTCCTGTTGTCACCGTTTCTACCACTGCAACTTGATGGCAACCTATGGTATGATCCTAGGCTAGCTTCGCGAATCATTACGCAAACTTCATATGCAGCTAACTGATAAACAAAAATACTCGCAATTCCAATACATGAACGTAATAATAAGCAACTGAAAGTCCTACAATTCGCTATTAACTGCTTCTTAAAAGACTATCAAAGCAACGCCTTATGTTAGTTTGAGTGTAGAAATTTGAACAGCTTCGTTTAATATTTATTTATATCAAATGACAGGCGTTTTGATAGTTATCACTAGCACTGGAGCTGACTTCGGGGCTTCACAGAGAGAAGAAGGAACATCAGAGTGACAATATGTCGAGGGGGGGGGAACAGAATAATGATTCACAGAGGTAAAAGAGACAGACAAACAGACACAAAGGGCAAAGAAAAGGTAAGATGAGTACTGTGGAAGTGGTCTAATATGACAAATAGTCGAGCCATAGAAGTTTGAAGTCAGGAGTCAACTGCCGTATAAGTATACGTTGCCCAGGGTGCACCACGTGGAGGTAAGTCTATTGCGCACCTCGCTTCGTTTAATATAGATATGAATTTTTAATTCGGAACCACTTGTGTGTGTTTCCATTACAACTCCATCAGCTTACCAAAGTCGGAGGGGGGGTGTGGGCATACTCAAGAACTAGAGTTATTCAACTTCCTTACTGTTGGCATTAATGGTTCGAAAAGGTAAAACGCATGCCTAAACCGATGTTTTGACAGATTCATCAATCAAAATATTTAAAAAGTTCAACAAAATCTCCAGTGACAGTCATGACTTCATCTAAAAATAAGTAAATAAATAAATGCTCTGTTAATCCCGAATGAAGATTTGGTTCTGCTGTCAAATGAATTGGATTTGTTTAGTGAAATGCAATATTTGGTGCAATTCTTTAAACCTTTACGCGGTTTACTTCGTAAATGAAAGTCCATTCTAATTGGCAGATTTATAGCAATTAAATCATGGAGCAGCTTTCAAAAATTCTACCTTACACGAGTGCTCAATATCGTAGCAAATATTGGTATCCATTCAGTGAGTTCTGATTGTTAGTTACCTGAGGGGTCTATGCACTCAAGACCGCGCATGCCCTCTGACCACTGGTCACCACCACAGACACTTGTTCTGAATTGTTCGGGTGCATATGTGATGCCTTAGTGATTAACCCTTGCATAGTTGCGCACTCCTTAAGTTGTTGATCACCAACCGTCTACTTTTATCAACTCTTAAATACACAAACACAGATGAACTCAGCATTAAGGGGATGAATAAGCTACTTATAAAAAATATGAAACAATAGACTATATCAGAGATTTATAATGAATGTATGGACGCTATTCATCTCTTTAAATAGTGGATTATCAAATTTTTTTGGGGTAATTTAAACCATTTACTACAACGCCAAATTAAGCAAACTTAAAACAAGAGCCTAGTGTACAAGGAAATGAATAGGCAAAGTAAATCACCTTCGGAATTCAAAATTGACAACCGAGAAATTTCGATGTTTAAAAATTACAACTTTAACATTTTCCTGGCTTTTAAATAAGCAAAGAAGGCACCAATATTTACCTGTTTGAAATACTCTACCAAGCAGTAAAGGAAAAGTCATCTTTTTCTTCAGTTGAGGCGTTTCTGCATGGAAATTTAAGTTTTGTTTCAGCATCATATAGTCTTTTGTGTTGTGGCTAGTATAATCGAGACCATGAGCTAATTTGTACTATGGACAGTAGTCGAACCAGGTCTTGATTGTTTTAATCAAGTGTTGTTAACTAAATATACAAATTGGTAAAGAATACGAGGAAATTATTTTCTTGTGTCCCGTTTTGCATTGTTAGTGGCACTAGACCCATAGCATGTAATGCTGAATCATCATGTGGAAATAAAATGATTTTATTAATGAAGATATATGCATAGAAGCAAACAATAATAAATTCAATTAGTGTTGATATTTTTAAGTATAATAATTAACCTAACGAATATATGACTCTTGAGAATTAGCAATTCAATTTGAGTAGCCTAAGAAAAATTGACATTGATCACAGTTGGCATATTTTGTTGTTCCCGGGATGTTTAGATTGGCTTTCTTCTCCAGATTTTATTGTTTCATTACTGCCACAGTTATGTTTATTTAAATATCTTTTGAAGTTCATAATTTTTTTCACACTGTGCATTTTTTTATTTATAAAGTGACATACAACCAACTTATAACTGGTGGCATAAATTATAAGGCCGGTCAAATGGCCGATTTATTCCTCTTACGCTCGTTGAAAATGACAGGAATTTTCTTAAAGTTGGCAGAGTTTAAAAATGCGCTAATAGTAATTAAATCAACAATTTATTATTAAGAATTAAAATGAAAAAAAAAACCCTTAAAAATTTCCTTCATGTGAAATGGCTTGTCAGTTACTGCTAATAATAATAATAATAATAATAATAATAAAACAACTCAGTTAAAGATCAGAGCGAGTATACGAACTGGAGTAAAATGACTACTTTCCAAATATTTATTTATTTATGACAAATCGTAGACGTTTTGATGGTTATCGTTAGCCCTTTAGTTGACTTCGGGCTTCACAGAGGGGTTGAGGAACATCAAAGCTGAATTCTTCACAGAGGGGTTGAGGAACATCAAAGCGAGAAGAATTCGGGAGGGGGAATAGAAGAGTGATTCACAGATGTAAAAGAAACAGGCAAACACAAAGGCTCAGAAAGGGTGATATGAGTACCGTGGTAGGGGTCGAAAATGACATATAGTGGGGGTGATGGTAGTTTGAAGTGAGAAGTCAACTGCCGGTTAATAGACTTTTTTCCGTATGATTATACGTTGCCCAGGGTGTACCACGAGGAGGTAAGTCTGTCCCACATCCCACTTTCCAAATATCATCATATGAAAGAGAGGCGCCAGTGTGGCTTTTATTGAGAATATCATGGTCCGGCTGTCATTTTCGTAAATTATCGTTTCAAATTAATTTTAGGAAAGCAAGCTTATCGTAGTGAAAGATGTTAAAAGAGCTACTACTTGTGCTAGAAGAGAAGAAGCTTGAGGCAACAAAATTCAATGCAAGATTATTACGTTGACCTTAGTTTATTTCAGTAGGAGCCTTGCGAATACGTATTCCTTCTTTAAATTTCATTTAAAGCACTCCTAATTATAGTTAAATGACCCTAACCAAAATCTGATTGGTTAATCCACGGTGCAAATCCATCAATTTCTACCCACCTCCGCACATACGCGCATACAAAATTAGACCTTGTAGGGTAGAGGCTACATTTTCCCTTAAGGTGTGATCCACTTCCAATGCTCTTCCTAATTCTTAGCTTATGTCTCATTTCATTCAGACACACCAATTCTCAATCTCCCGACGTTGTCTCATCATTAGTAGATATCAGCCAAGCCGTTGTTGCTGGCAAACATCTCTCCACAGAGTTAACAAGCTATCTCAACAAAGAGGAATCTCGTCTAGATAAACTTCGTGAAGTTATCCTACGATTAGACTCCGCGCTAGAGATCTTCAATGCCTCAGATCCAAATCAATTGTCCCTTCCATCGATCGAAAGCGAAGCAGCGGCTAACCCGATTTCAGCATTTCTTGCCATTGTTCGACTTGCGGCAAACTGGTCAAGTGAATTGTCTGTGATACTAGGATTTCCAAATGTGGATCCTGACAAAGTAGACTCAATTAGTTATAAAGATACCTCAATGGGAGTGTATAATGAATTTGACTCAAGAAGAAATCTATATTTGAGGCTAAAATGGTACGCGAGTATGCTTCCTGATGATAGGGATGTTCAAGGTGCATTGGATGCTGTGATTAGGCTTCAACAAACATACAATATTCCATCTATAGAAATAGCGGAAGGGAGAATTCTGCCCTCATCCCCGTCTCCTCGTTTATCAGGTAAATTTTAATGAATCAATTACATAGAAATCATATAAATATATGAGTGTCATGTTCCGTGACTCTGACCAAGTTAAGAGTCACCATCCTCAATGAAACACTAAAACGAATTCTATTAGAAATTAATATTAAGTAGCTATTAATACAAAGAAACCAATTCCACAAGGCTTCACGTGTTCTCTACCTGGGTTTAAACGGAAGAATTGAAAGTTTCAGACAAATGCATAATTTTTTGCCAATTAAATTTCCAATATTATTATGTCTGCTTTGTTGGAAATATCACGTTATCTAACTGCAGGTTTCGACTAATACATACGAAACCAAACTGTAGAAAAACGTACTTAGTAGAAATAACAATCTAGGGATAAAAAAATAACTGATGTCAAATTTGAAAAAAAGAAGTAGTGCAGCAAAATAAATTACCTTTAGACACAAAACAGTCCTGCAGAGAGGCTGGAACGATAGCGTATATATATATATACATATATATATATATGTATTACTTGTGCTCAATAGGATGCTTTAAATGTGAATTTATGATTTCAAGATGGGATAAATGTGTAGCAAAATCAATTACTTCAATTAGAGTAACAGGGAATCTACTAAGAAACGTAAATTTTAAAATTAACATGCACTTTTAAGCGTATTGCACTAGTAAATGCTTTAGGCACCTTTCGCATCACCCTAATTAGCAAATAGTCCCAATTTATCAAGCCTTCGTGGAGGTTTTAAACTGTTGCTCTTCTGCTTTTATGCTATTAACCAAATACATTTCACCGTCACTCTGCAACTAAACAGACAGTATTGGTTTATTGGATTATTAAATTGGAAAATTTTTGTACAGGTGTATTTTTACTTGGAGGTTAAAAGAAATGAATCACCATTTTAAGGTCAACAAGTTCAACTTTTGGCCATCAAGAAGCGCGCAAGCATAGCTTTCGAGTTCAAGTCAAATGTACAAAAATTTTTTAACAATTTATTTAACTGTTCTAGTCTCTGTTGGAAAAGCAGTTTTCTCATTTTGCATGAAAATACTTATTGAGCACTTCCTTTTGCAAACATCTACTCAAAAAAATAATTGGTTTCAAAACTCTGCAACTTGAAACACTCTTGACTACTTACCTGCCCAAGTATGTTTATAAATCTTTGCTTTACAGTCAACATGGATGCAAACTAATTCTAATTTACAATATCTGTTTGGAAAAGAAAATTTTTAAATTGGAGTTAGGTAAACTGGGATATTTAAGGTAGATAATAAGAGCCCTTTGCTATAAAACGAGGAATTCCAATCAACTTTCATCGGAAGTGCATTAATTAAAAAAAATTTGTGATAGCATGCACAATGGTAGCGAAATGCCCTTTGTTAGGTGGTATATTCAAATGACTCATTAGTGACTGACTGGTAAATTGATACCCAGATGGATTTCGCAGTTGCCACTGGGAGAACGAATAAATACGAACCCATTCACCTTCCCACTTCGCAATATTGCCCTTTTATTTAACGCCAAGAAGGAGGGGAGCATAGATAATTTGATTTCTATTGGATTTGAAACATGCGAAAGCGATTTCTGGGGCATAAATAAAAGAAGCTTTTGCAACAATTGTCAAAAAGTTGCACTGTGAAAAAATAACTGCCTAACTATTAATTTTCTTTGACATTGCCCCAATAGGCAATATTTCTCTTAATCGCAAATGACTGCATTGTAGTCATTTTATGGCTCAAATATAATTACTTAGTTTGATCTCATAATGGAAGGAAAGTGGAAAAAAATTTATCCGCAATCCGCATTAGGTGAATATGCAACCGTCAAAATTTAACTTCTTTTAATTCTACAAAAAGAATGTTCCATGAAAACATCAGGCTGTAATCAGTGTATGATGTCAGCACGCCACCTGACCGGTAAAAATCTTTGCCCACTTCACGTCATACCTTGCGCAGCCAGTTTCGTGATGAGTGTCTCCTTGTAAGGTGAAAAAAATGAGGTAATTTCAAGAATGGCTTAAATGCTAACTGCATACCTATGCTCAACTCCTTCATTTGACGCTGGGCAGTTTAGCAAAGCTCAATTTTTGATAAGTTAAGATGTTTGATGGTCGGACAAAAAAATAAACCAACTTGGATGTAGAGATAAAAATAAACGCTAAAACCGAGTAAGGAAAGTAAAATGCGTGGAAATAAGCATTGAAGAGTAAAGCTTTAATCGCACCACATTGGTTCTTGTGGAAATCCAATTCTCCTAGTTGATTTCCAAAATGAACCGAGGAAAATGAAATTACTGGGAAGCATAGGAAGAAAGCTTATGTAAAAATTTAATTATTTCACTACTCTTAAATCCATTTCTGTTAGAATAAGATGATCTCATTGGGCACACCTTGCTATCTCGTTTCTAGACTGGCATTGCATGAAACTCGGCCTCTTCTGCTACGAATCGGGCGATTACGGCCGTGCAATTGAATGGTACAATGTGGTATTGGATCGACTCAACGCCAAGAGAAAGGAAGACAAACTTGAGACAGGAAAGGGTGCTGTGTCATTTGCATCGCTTTACGATCACCTATCCTACGCTCTTGGTCGGGTAAGAAGGCAAATCAAGTTAAGTCAATAGGATCAAAGGCTTATTATTTAATTAATTTTGTATTGTTTTTATTTATGCAGTCCGGAAGATATAAAGAAGCACTAGAAGTCACAAAGAAACTGTTAATAGAAGGTGATTTTATTATGGTTTTAGCATTAATTTACTGATAAAATGAACCATGGTGATAAATAATGTTTTAAGCTTTTTTATTTACTTGCCAGAAAAGCATGAAAAATTCAAATTTCCTCTAATGTTCAAGTCATTATTTCCTTCCATTACCTTTAATTTAGATCCAAATTCCACCAATGGGGTAATGAGCAAAGTGTTCTATGAGATGGAACTCCATCGACTTGACGAGAACGATCCTCCCCATGTTGACGATGAAAGCAAGTTAAAAAAATTGCTGTTTCCTTTTAAATATTTATTTATATCAAATGGCAGGCGTTTTGATGTTTTATCATTAGCCCTTTAGTTGACTTCAGGCTTCACAGAGGGGAAGGAACATCAATGTGAAAATAAGTCTAGAGGGGGGGGGGGACAGAAGATTGTTTCAAAGACGAAGGTAGAAAAAGGTGAGGTGAGTACTGTGGAAGAAGTTGAATATGACATACAGTGGGGTGATGGTAGTTTGAAGTGAGAAGTCAACTGCCAGGTAATAGACTTTTTGGCATATGAGGAAACATTGCCCAGGATGCACCACGTGGAGGTAAGTCTATCACACATCTCTGTTTCCTTTTAAATATTATATCCATACAAGGTTCATTATTTTTAAAATGCAATGTAATTGTGAAAAGTAGCAATAGATAATAAATCAAACACTGGAAGTTGGTCACTATTTGTTAAAGTTATGGCATTAAGTAAGATGTAGATAACGAGGCCTATGCATCAAACATTCCACTGTAACTGGATGATTGATTACAGTTTTATTTTGCGCATCCAAATGTCTATTTTTTGGAATTGTATCCACTTTTTGGCATAAACCAAGTGCAGTGCATTGTTTGACTGCATTGGATGGTGTGCATACAAGCAGTCAAAACAAGAGTTCCCTTGATTTCAACATTTTTTCACATTATTCCTTCTAACTTAGTTCAGACGTATTTTGAATAGAAGAAGAATTTGGCTTAATTTTTTTTAAATTTAAATTGTGTGCCATTCCAAAAAATAATGACTCTGAGAACGATTTCTGAATACCAAGATATCTTATTTCTTGTTTTTTTGTTCCAATTTGAATACTAAAAGCACATATGTGATGTTCTGATTGAATTATTGATTTTTATAAGCTTGTATGGTTGGCCATTTCTTGAACAACAAAGGCGTCATCGTAATAAAATAATTAACATTAGTTCCACCAACTAGAGTTCACTGAATGAGACTGATTGTCATATATTGGAACTCATTTAAAGCAGACTTTTGTAAATGTAGTAAACCACCTTCACCGATCCAAAGAATATATGACTTCCATCAACTATATCATAGTATGCTGTGTCAGTTGCAAAAATTTATGGAGATTAGAGAGTTTGAAATGACGATATGACAATGGCACCTTGTCTCTAACCTAGTTTATCATTAATTTAGACACTTTGATACTTAAAAATAAATACGTTAGACGAGTGAGATAAAATCAGCACAGACCTGCATTTAATGGGGTTCAATATAATGCAATTGTGGGAAAATATTTATTTATTTAATTATATCAAAAGGCAGGCGTTTTGATAGTTATCATTGGCCCTGGAGCTGACTTCGGGGCTTCACAGAGAGGAGAAGGAACATCAAAGTGACAAAAAGTCGAGAGGGGAACAGAATAATGATTCACAGAGATAAAAGAGACAGACAGACAGACACAAAGGCACAAAAAAGGTAAGATGAGTACTGTGGAAGGGGTCGAAAATGACAAATAGTCGGGCCATAGAAGTTTGAAGTCAGGAGTCAACTGCCTATCAATAGACTTTTTTGCCGCATAAGTATACGTTGCCCAGGGTGCACCACGTGGAGGTAAGTCTATTGCGCACCCTTTGTAGGGAAATATCATTCTAGGAGTTTTTCTGCTGATGTGATGAATGGCTGTACCTGCCATATGGACATGAAATCTCTGTGCATTTTAGGTGAAAGGGCGGTTGACCAGGAAGCATATATTTTCGATGACCTTTGCAGAAAGGCTAATGCATGGAGTCCCCCTAAATCCAACTTGAACTGCAGATATTCCACACCTCATCCTTACTTCCTGATTGGACCCCTGAAAGAAGAACTCTTGCAGGAAGATCCACCTATTATACTCTGGCATGATTTTGTTAGTCAAAAAGAAGTGGATGAAATTATTGAGATCGCCAAGCCAAAGGTATTCGAAATTGAACAGTTTTGTGGCTATTGAATGCAATGCATGCTACCTTGCACATTTCATGTAGTTTTCAAGGTTCAATTGGACATTAGACAGCAAGCTAATATATGCAAAGAGAAATAGTAGATTCTCTCCATGCGACGGAATCTAAATGCGCTTCACTAAAAAAAATTAATTTTAAGTTCCTTTTTCTTTTAACTTACATACCTTGTGTTACCAGTAAAGAGTTGGTTAAATCTCAACGTTCTTGAGTTAAAGTTTACTGAAGATACAAGTTCCTCGAGCTTTTGTAAACTCTTTCATTATTCATCCGCACTTGTACTCCAATTGAATATTCTCATTATTAACAGGGGACCCAGGTTTCTCGGAATATCATCACTCGTTAACGATAATGCGATATAGTATTACATGCGACTATTTACAAAAGTTCCTTCTTTTGCAAAGATTAGTGAAACCAAAGCCATTGGCGAGAACTTAATATAATTAATATTTAGTCAATTCACCTTGAAATTGGAAAGGAGCTAGGCTTATTTCTTAGAAGTAAAATTTTTACGCCAATGCTCCATGACGTTTGTAGGTCGTTTGAGCTTAAATTTAGGCACATTGATTCCAAAATCTATTTTTCACCTTCAAAATGTGCCGACAGCAAATTCCCCCCTATTTACTTAAAGAGATTTGCTCGCCTATCATTGTTGATATCATTTGAGAATGCTTAAATTCAGATAAGACAGTAAACTGAGCAAAGTTTTAGCCAATATTAATCGAACTAATTTATAGTACTGGGATATTTGAAATATGATTTTCGATTATTATATTGTCTTATAGAATAGCAAAAAACTCATGAGACAGTGTAGTAGAACAATATCTTTACAGTCAAGGAGCCTTGATTGATCCAAAACATCTAGAAGGTTCAGTTGGTGAAGACGATAGTTTGTAATTTATATTCCAAGTTCCTATGCATATAGGGCATTCAATGACTGATTTTGCGGTATAATTTAGAGGTGCATAGACTTCCTTCAAAAGAATTGCGGGAAGTAGGAGAATTCCCACCTCATCAAAATATCACCCAAATAAAGGACAAACCAGTCCAAATTACAGGGTGAGGGGGAGGGGGGGGGGGGGGGGGGGGGGGGGGTGAAACAGACATAATGATAAACACATTGAAAAAGTGCTATGATCTTGAGATTTTGCCGCATGGGGGAGGGACATTGCTGGGGAGGGGGGGTGCGCATTTACACCACGATAACGCCTATATTTATCGAAGTCACCTCGAGTAAACTCCAGAAAATTCCACTAAAGTAAGGTATCTTTACAAAATAAATATTTAGCATATAAGTTATTTCGCCTTTTTTATATCATTTATCAATGTACCTATTTGAGATTTTTTGCATTTTAGCTGAGAAGAGCACTGGTTCGCAACCCTGAAAGTGGAGTTCTCGAACCCGCCGCCTACCGAGTGACCAAAAAGCAAGTTACATTCGTTTAATTTTGCTCTCTGTTTACATATTCTCATTACTGCCAATTTTAAACCAAGCTCATTTAGCCAGAAATTTACTACTCGTTTTAAGAGTGCATTTAAAGCAACTTCCTTTTCATATTTTAATGAATGTATTTTGGATTATTTAAAGAAGTTACTTTGGAAAAATGAAATGAAAATCGTAGACGCGAGTGCTTTTCTGCGTTAAACCATGTTTAGGCAAATGTTGCCCTGTCAGGTCAAGTTCATGGTGCTGATGTCCAGCTGATATTGGCATCTTAAAGGTTACGGAGAGGAATTTTATGACCGCATGCCGCTAATATTGGGCATTTGATTACTCATAAAAATGCTGTTACGAGCGTTGATAAATCCGGTAGGCTAGAATGATAAGGGCTAATTGCTGATTGTCATAGTGATATACGCGTTACATACCATCAGTGTTTTCCCAGATTTTGAAGGTTTATCTCCATCTGCAGTCAATGGACGAATTACTCACCACGCTTAATGCCCAGATAAAATTGTGCCATTCCCTTTTAATAGAGGATTATGAGAAAAAAAATATTTTTTAATGGCATGCTGTTATTGCTACATAAGCTCATCTAATTGTAAGTACTTAATGCATGTATATTTACGATCTTACACTAAGTAAACATTCTATTGAACGACAATTATATTTTAAATATCCGAATAGGAAAGTAGACAATAATTACTGGACGAGAGGAGACGTGGAATTAATAAACGAACTCAGAGTATTGATTTCTGTATAATTAACAATTTTCAGTCACTTAATTACCAAACTTCTACAATGGAAGCATTAAGATTCATTAATTTAATCCCTGTGTGTCCAAACTGGGTTTTTATTTTGTGAAGATCAGGCGTACTAATAACGTCTTTGGTCGTCTCAATTCACTCCATTTGTACAATTATGCATTCAGAAGTATTTCAATGTGACTGACATGAGTGCTTTAACATAACAGCTCTCCGTGAGATGTTTGTGAATTATGAGTTTGGTAGAGAAATTTCACGAGGATTAAAGGAAGAGAATTAACGTATATCGGAGAAATGCGTTTGTATAGCTTTTTAAAATAAGTAGTCTTCTGAATAATTTCTAATCTCACAACCCAAAAAGTTGACTTCACTCAAAAATCATTGAGATCAACGATTAGACAATTAGGCACATTTTCCCAAATATTCAAAATTTATGAATAATGAACAGTAGACTATTAATTGGTTTGCGGCGATTATTACAATCAACTAGTCTATAAGTAACTAATGAACTCAATTATCAGAAACAGGTATGAGCATTATTCTAATTATAATGGATGCATTAATACTTGATCGCATTCGCTTACTGCGAGTACAAATATGGCTTTTTTCTCAAATTTAATAGGTTAAATTCTAAAGATGACCACCTTATTTAAAATTCAGATCTGAAGGTCACATGATTTACATTAATTTGTGTGTTCAATTAAAAATATACATGGAATATAAGGCTTCGAAATATTGTTCACTGTCGTGATGGGCACGTTTCAGCATTGCCACAGGGGTAATAAAATCGTTGTGGTCTTGGAGTATAAAGGACAATTCATTGTCATATATTCACATAATTAGAGCAAATTCAATTGAAATAATTAAGCATTTTAATTATCAGCAATCGTACTGGGTAGAACGGTGACGTTTAGAGGCATATCTTATTTTGAATGCTCGTATTCGGCAGCGTCTGTGCCAACTAGAACAAGTATTAACCTCTGAATACAAAAAGTAATGCAAATATTGACCTTTTGAAGAAGTACAACAAAGATTAATTTATTTATTTCAAATGGTAGGCGTTTTGATAGTTATCATTAGCCATTTAGCTGACTTCGGTAATATTATTACTTATTTATTTTATGTATTTGATGTATTTATTTCAAATGGTAGGCGTTTTGATAGTTATCATTAGCCATTTAGCTGACTTCAGGCTTCACAGAGGGGAGGAGGAACTTCAAAGTGACAAAATACCGAGAGGGGGGGGGACAGAATAATGATTCACAGAAGTGAAAGAGACAGACAAAAGAGCAGAGAAAAAGGTAAGATGAGTACTGTGAAATGGGTTGAATATGACATACAGTGGGGGTCGTTTGAAGTCAGAAGTCAACTGCCGGTTTATAGACTTTTTGCCGTATGAGTATACGTTGCCCAGGGTGCACCACGTGGAGATAAGTCTATCTCACACCCCGTACAACAAAGATAAGTGCTGCTTTCAAATCTTTTCGCATCAACTATATAAACTTCTTCAAAGCAGCTCAATTAGCTTTATCAATTTGTAAAGCTAACACCCAAAAGTCATTGACACCATATTATCGATCCTCTTTAGGTACAAAAAAACGCCATCACTAGAGCGTCCATATTTTCCTATCGACTAGGTTTTACTATTTTTGTTCCCAACACCACAAACAATTCGCTCTTAATAAACATTTCCTACTCCCACTTCTAACAAAGTTTTACAAATTAGTTCCAAATTTTTCCACCAAATTAAGTCACATAATTTGAATCATAATGAAGTCCTATTAGAGCCGAAGTTGGTAACCGTTGAACAATGAGTTAAGATAAAAATATTAACATTTAACAAATTAAATATGCCACGGTGAATTATTGTTATTCCTCTAAAGCACTTGTATTGATTCTTTAGAATGGTAATGAAAAGAAATGAGGTGAAAGAACAATCTGAGATGAAATAAGAATTAAAAGAATTCACACTAATTTATGAAGTCAATCTTTGTTTTTATCTTCAGTTTCAAAAGGTATTCAATGTCTAATAGTAGCGATATCACGCTAAAATGCATGAACGAGGCCAATTTCCTTTGTTTTGACGACACTTCTAAACTATCAGGCTAAGCATTTTTTGCCCTTAAGAGTAGGCCAATAAAAATTAGCCAAAGTAGTAAATACTATCAGGATGTCGGGCTTGCTATTTGAATGACTATGGACTTCCAATTTCGAATTTTAGCGTTTGGTTACCGGATGATTTGAATGAATTAACGAAGCGCATAAACAAACGCATAAGCATGGCCACTGGACTGAGCATTGAACACGGGGAAGAACTTCAAGTTGCTAACTACGGACTTGGGGGCTACTACGCACCTCACTACGACTACGCAAGGGTAAACTTGAATTCTTTTTTTTCTTTTTGTATACGTTAAATTTTCCACCTTTTATGAATTTGCAAAATAGAATTAAAACTGAAAAGGTACTTCTGTTTTGCATGCACGGATGTCCGTTCCTACTTTTCAGAGTTCAAATCGAAAGCAGGCAACAATGCACATCTATGAGAATTGAAGTGTCCACACCACAAATGGTACTTTGATGGCATAATTTTAATCTGGACTTTTAACTCTCCCTGATAAAAGCAATATTTCTTAAACAGAATTGTACCATATTAGAGCATTTTGGAGGGTAATTGGCATTATATTTCATTTTGCGACAATTTTCTAAGAAATAATACTTGAATTCAAAGGGATCCTAAAATTGCGTGGTTAGAAAACTGGTGATGGAGTGCGTGAAAATTTGGCAATACCACACTTTTAAAATGATGTTATGTGGGAGTTATACCTTTCCTAATGGTAGTTGGTGAGGTGTCCAGTTAATGAAAGTTATAAATCTAATTCTAGTGGTTGGACTTAATCACTTTGGAACACGGATAGTACTGGATCCTACGAAAAAATTTATTATATATATTTTAGAACTATATTAAAAGAAATAAGTTGATCATGAGAAATTTATATCAAATGGAAGGCGTTTTGATAGTTACCATTAGTCCTTTAGTTGACTTCGGGCTTCACAGAGGAGAGGAATAGAAAAAGTCACAAAATGGGAGAGGGGGAACAGAAGAGTAATTCATAGCTGCAAAGGAAACAAACACAAAGGTAGAGAAAAGGTAAAGTAATGTGAGAACTATGGAAGTGGTGGAACATAACATACAGTGGGGTCATTGTAGTTTGAAGTCAGAAGTCGACTGCTGGTTTATAGACTTTTTTGCCGTATGAGTATACGTTGCCTAGGATACGCCACGTGGAGGTAAGTTTATACCACACCCGAAAATTGCGCCGGCCGGGAATCGAACCCGGACCGCCCGCGTGGCAGGCGAGCATTCTACCACTGAACCACCGGCGCATCGTGAACTGCGGTTCCAAGTAAACACAAATATTTTATGCAAACTGAAAAAAGCGATTAGTCTGATTGTTATTTCCAAAATTAAATTTTACTCTCCAACTGAACATCACTAACAAGATAGTCTCATTTCTGGCATTTTGAGGAATTTATTTTCCCAAAGTACGGCAGTCTAAGATATTGTTATTGTTAGAATGCTGTATACTAACTGCTATTGGCCACTTTCCCGAAAAAAGTTTATGGCGCTCAATCAAAATCGCGATAGCGCCATCCCAACGCTGGGATTTTTATTTTGATCCACATTTGTGTTTTCACCCCCATTGCTAGCTAATTGTGGCGCAAGTAGTATTTAGTTCCCTAGGATATGTTGACCTTGGCAGAAAAGAAATTTGTAATAATGTATAATACTAAAAATGCAACATTTGTCTGAGAGAGTTTATTTAAACGCAAAAACAGCTGGTGAAGGTATGAAAACTGTTTTTAAAACGTATTCAGCTTTTACATCCGGGATTAGCATATTTAAACCACAGAATGTAGGAGAATTTTAATTACGGAAAGTGAACTTTCAGCTGTATGTGATTTCTTTTGGCAAAAAAATTAAATCTGTTTGCCGAAAACGATCGGTTTGAATATAACGAATTTACTCATGTACAGTTTTTAAATGGCCAAAGGTATTTTTTAATCTTAATTTTCAACTTTTCCTTTGCTTTAGAGATTTGAAATAGACGCTCATGATAGACGCCATGGTAATCGTATAGCAACAACTATGGTATATGTAAGTTTATCATGTCATCCAAATAACTTATTTATACATTTTATAATATTTACGATAATCACAGTTCTACTTATTCTTTTATTCATTTGAATATAGTAAATATGCATTTGAATTTAATACTTCGTCCTTTGGAGTTCATTTAAAAAGCTGTGGATTAATTTCAAAGCTCTGAACTTCTTTATAGCAAAAGTGAATTTTTTAATCATAACTTAGTATTTAATTAGTATTTTATAGACTATTAAAAGTTTAGAAATTGGTTAAGACCAATATTCACTGCCTAATTTCGTTAATTAATGGTGAAATTCACAAAAAGATGGTAGACAAATAATTTCGAATAATTTAAACAAAATTAGGCCAACGAAATATATAGGGACCAAACACTCATTCAATAATTCCACGCAATATCATACAACGGTTATTTATTGCAGAGGGTTGGCGAAAATTACCACTTCAAAAGACTCTGTATTTTAGTAGTAATTGGATTTGGAAATAAACAACAACAACAACAACATGAATCCATTTTTTCTTTGAAGTTACATCCGATACAACAACTTAGTGCGGATACATCTACCTCCAGGTATACGTGAGAAGCCATTTTTTGCCCTAATCGTAAAATCATCTTGACGTTTCGTAAAATCATTCATATTGAAGAGTTTTTGTGCCATGGTGTCAATAGAGGATGAAAAAATTGACCAAAATAATGCAAAAGTTTGTAGGCGTCAATAGCACTGTGTTTATGACGAATGATTGTCGCGAAGAATTCTTATTTTATTTATTTATTTCAAATGGCAGGCGTTATGATA